GCAAGGACACTGCACACACTAGTTACACGATAGAAAAGAGTAGCCATTTCTGCCATCATTAGCACAAGTTTAGAGCACAAAAAGCTCAAAGTTTTCTTTCACACACCATTTTTACCTCAGCATTTTCAAAAATAAGTCTCAGGATCCTCACTGGGGCCACCCAGCGACAGCCCCCACCTTCACCTGCACTCCATTTGCGAAGTCTGGGGCGCTGAGGCAGAGGCCTCCTTCCTCACACAGCACCCGCCTCACCCGCAACCACAGCACCGCCACACGCACCAGCCCGCACACGTTTTTAAAATAAAACAGTTTTCTTGCAGCCCAGTCCCTTATCGCCATCAGAGCACAGAACAATTTGTGTAACACCTCCATATTGCTGCCCAAGACAGGATTAAACCATGGAAAGGGATTTCTTGAGGCATTTTACAACAGGATTTAAGTCACTCTCAACAAACCAAGCACCCAAACCAGCCAACCAACACTGAAAATGGGCAGAAAGACTAGAAAAACATACCAATTTCTTTTTTATTTAAATAACAAGGACTTAAAAATTCTGACTTTTAAGACAAGTTAAATAAAATACAGCGTAAACATCAGCTTTTATATTTTTGCTTGTCTACATATAGCTTATTCAGAAATTTGATATACAGCTTAAGCAGTGATATCTGATTCAAACTGCCCAACCTGTGCCTTCAAAAGCAATCAGTTGTATAAAATACTGTGATATCAAAATATAATCAGTATACTGTACAAAAAAAAAATTTTTTACAAGAATTTGATATCTAAAAATCAGATTAGCTGCATCTGAAATTCATGGTAAACTGTCTTCTCTCAAGAGGAATTGATGGATAAACTGCTGAGCTTTCTTCTTTTCAGTTATATCGGGCATAGGGTGTCCAGGAGGAGGTCGAAGTAACAAGCCGCCAAATATACTAGCTGCATTGAAAAAAAAATCATACAAAAAGTCACATAAATACGCAATAAGAGCCCAGCAGCAGTATATCAAGAGTAATTCCACCAACCCAAATCCAAGTAAGAGAGAGCCTGGCTTCAGAATGGGGTGAGATAAAGCCAATGACCCCATATATCTCGGTCACTTTGCAACTTTTTTCAGGCTACAGCCATAACTGGTTTTCTACTGACTGTTCACTTGTTATCAAAAGCTTCATAACAGTAGAGGCCATGACCACTCACTTCAGAGAAACATGTTTTGTTACACAAACTGCAAAACCCCCCTGAAGGGAATGGTTATTTTGCTCTCCTTACCAAGAATATTCACATCCAAATGGTTTTTCCCTGAATTCTTCAGTAGTTCTCGTAGAAATGCCATTAGATATTCAAATACATTTTTATGGCACCTTGGCAGGTTAGAGATGATCTGAGGAGGAAAAAGAAGTAAAACAAACACCCACAGGATTTATACTGAAGACATGGCAATGGCTTAGCAGCTTTATCTACTCCAACATCCCTCTGTCTGCAAACACTAACAACTCTTAATAACCAAGAAGCACCAGTTCTAGATCCTATTATCAGCTGATGATTCACAGACACTCTGAGTGGAAGGGGTTGGAAGTGACCTCTAGAGATCATCTAGTCCAACCTCCCTTCCAGAGCAGGATCACCCAGAGCAGATCCCACAGGAACAAGTCCAGGGGCTCTGGAAAGTCTCCAGGGAAGGAGACTCCATCCCCTCTCTGGGCAGCCTGTTCAGGGCTCTGTCACCCTCACAGGGAAGAAGGGTTTCCTCATGGTCAGGCTGAACCTTCTGTTTCCCAGTTCATGGCCATTGCCCCTCGTCCTGTCACTGGACACACTGAGAAGGGCCTGGCCCCACCCTCCTGACACCCACCCTTTAGATATTGATAAGCATTGATAAGATCCCCCTCAGCCTCCTGGAGAAGTCCAGCTGAACAGCCCCAGCTCTCAGCCTTTCCTCATGTGGAAGGTGCTCCAGGCCCTTCATCATCGCAGTGGCCCTGTGCTGGACCCTCTCCAGTAGCTCCGTGTCCTTCCTGAGCTGAGGAGCCCAGAGCTGGACACAGCACTCCAGGGGAGGCCGGGGAGGAGAACTTCCCTCAACCTGCTGGCCACGCTCTTCTTAATGCACCCCAGGATGCCACTGACCTTCTTGGCCGTGAGGGCACACGGTTGGCTCATGGTCACCGTCTTGTCCACTGGGACTCCAAGGTCCTTTTCCCCAGAGCTGCCCTCCAACAGATCAGCCCCCAACCTGTCCTGATCCACGGGGTTCTTCCTCCCCAGACGCAGTACTTGACACTTGCCCTGATTGAATTGCATTCTACTTCTCCCCACCCAGCTCTCCCGCCTGTCCAGCTCATGATGAATGGCAGCTTGGCCTTCTGGCGTGGCAGCCGCTCCTCTGAGTTTGGGATCAGCAGCAAACTTGCTGAGAGCAAAAACCTGTTACTGGTCTGACATACAACAGTTTGCCTCCCATCCCTCTGGAGTTACAGAAAGTCTCACAGCGCGCTACCTGGCTGCTCAGTGGGTAGTTGCTGGCACTCTCCAAACAGCTGCTGTAGAACCTGTAGCAGATGACAGGCTCTGGCAGGCTTTCCAGGAAGAGTAGCAGGGCTTCTGCTACCGAGTGGTTGCTGCCAACTGATCCAAAGGCAGTTAAGGAAGAGGCAAGCACAGCATGATCTGTTGTGGTCGTATTTCTGCTGAAACATTAACCTTTGCTTAGGTCTCCAGGAACAACTCCTGTTTGAGTTAAATCACTTGACTCCACACAGCAAGCCATTTCCCGTGGCAGTTGGACACTCAGGTAATTCATCAATGATCATTCATCAACGTGGCAAGGACCTAGCAGAGCCATTCGTACTGATTGCAAGGAGGAAGTGCAGATCTCGGTCACCCCGAGACAAGAGACAGTCATTTAAAAACCATGGTGGAGCACAGAAGACAGATAAAATCTTTTTCAGCTTTGATCATTAAGGCATAGTGAGCCCTACCAGACAGCAGACTAAAAGGATACGGAGGGTATCATGCATTCCTTTGTCCAAACAATCTCGGATTTGCTCAAATTCAGATCTGAGGCCTGGTTGCTGAAACAGGTCCTCCTGCAAAGCGGACCATTAATCAGTCTCAAGGAAAATAAAGGTTAGTTGGGTAAATAGAGCAATGTCATTACAATCTAGCTGGAAAAATCTCTCTGACTTGGTAGTTACCAGCACAAATCCCACCACGAGCAGCTCTAGTAAGGCTGTGGCACTGCAGCAGAGAGCAATGCAGAAGGACAGCTGCTGATACACACAGACGAGGTCACCATCCCAAAACTGTGCAACCCGGGGTACCAGGATTACTTATCACACATGTCCTTTCTCTCTCCTCACCAACACACCATTATTTTGTGTTTCCAGTACAAACACTGCCGACCTGCTGGGAAGCATTGCGGTACAAGTGATCCACCATCATCCAGAGCTCTTTTGGAATGTCCATGGGCTTTTCAGCTTGAACATCATCATCACTCATGTCCAGTGGCATCAGGGTCTGAGAGAGGGAAGTAAAACAAAATGAACCTCCTTACACGTGAGGATTAAGAACTGTGCAGCTTCACTCTCCAGTCTTCACACAATGCAACAGGCTTGTTCATATCAAAAGTCCAGACAGAAGAAACAAGCTGCTCACACAAACCTCGTACACTCACCACTGTGGAAATATATACATATGCCTCACATATACACACACATCTCCACTACGTGTGGAGAAAACCAAAGGCTCCTGGGAAAAAGGTCTACACCTACAAGTTGCACACCTTTTTAAATGTGCTGGCAGAGCGCACTGGCTCTTACTTTCAGTGCTCTCTATATGAAACAGGTTAGCTCATCCACATGAAGAACTAGTGCAAGGTGTGAAGATGGTGCACTGGAGAGCACAAGTTGTATCAGCATTCCCAGACTATGGACCAGGGAAGCGGAAAAAGGCTCTTTAGCAATCGACAGGACTTAACATCTAGTTTTAATGGTTCTTGTGGGTTCAGAAGGGAATCTTGTCTTTAACTCACCAGTTTCTGAAAGGATTCTGCTGACATGTCCTGGATCGGTTCCCTCATGTAACACAGCGTATGAATAGGAGACCCAAAGCAACTTGGCAAGTAGTTGCCTGTTACAGATAGAAAGTAATCCTTCCCCCTGTTAAGATGCAAGACCAAGATATCTTCAAGTTTTTCCTCTCCAGAGTTTAAGTGTGTAGCTGTTGATTTATTGACAAACACCTCCAACTCAATTGTGACCTCAGCATCTGCCGAAAGACAATAAAAAACACATACTCAGCTAAACAAAGGGATTAAACCAGTAAGCCTGTGAATAGGCGTAGCATTCTCAAAATAGCAGAGAACTATGCCAGAAGGTGACAATTTGAGCTCATTAACATGAGATGAACAACAAGGATCTCACCTGAGAGCAGAAAGCCCTTACTGGGATTAGCAATCAGCCACTCCTTGCAGTAGGTTTCCTCGTCTGGTTTGCTGATAAATTCGAACTGGCAGGGCACTTGTCCATTGCGGATTGTAAACCTCTCTACTTGCAGCTGCATGTATTTAACATCCTCAAAATGGAACTAGAAACAAATGTCAGTCAACACCATCAGCCAGCTCCACCTTGCCAAGCACCAACAGCAACTCCTGTCCTGTGGTTTAATCATTAAGCAGCACAATACCCAGATTAACCCTCTTGTTCCTGCAGCCCGTCTCTTCCAGGATTACATTTGCTTACTCTGTATGCCAAATTCATTTGCATCAGTGGGCTCTTTAAAACAAACACTCCCCTCAAATAACCTCAATGAAACCTGAGAACAAGATAGCTGTAGCCTGGAATGTCTTATCTGCTTATCTTTTGTAGTCACACACACACACAGACAGAGCAAATGTGGGGTTTGTGACCTTCTCCAAATCCTTCAGATTTTACATTTTATGTTTCAAACAAGTCAGAGCAAGGGCTGCAAACTTCTACTTGCTCTCTCCCCACCTCAGGGAGTAACACACCCTATATTTCTGCCCAGTACTGCGAATGGAATTTCATAGAATGGTTTGAGTTGGAAGGGACCTTAAAGCCCACCCAGCCCCACCCCCTGCCATGGGCAGGGACACCTTCCACTAGACCAGGTTGCTCCAAGCCCCATCCAGCCTGGCCATGAACACTTCCAGGGATGGGGCATCCAGAATTTACCTGCATCCAAACAGAAACAAAGATTTCTAGGGCTTGTAAACAGAGAACAGCTGGAAGTCAAATATGCTACTTCCTTGGAACTCAGGGCCTGGAATCCATCTGATGTCACTGAAATACCCTTCTGGGGTCTAGGGCTGCTCAGTTTCTCCAGCAAGTCACAGCACATGAGCACACCCTACCTCTCTCTGGGACAGCATCACCGAGGGAATGTTGGCATTCTCCATCTTATCCAGGGAGCGGACTATTTCCTCAAAGGCTTTTCGATAGAGCTCCTCATTCACAACCTTCACCTGAAAAGGACACACGCTGCACCAACCAGCACTTACTGTCCTGTGCAGGAGAGCTGCAACATGGTTGGAAACGTGGGAAACGATTTGATTTCAGCAGCACACTAGTGTATGCAACACACGTAACAGAGCCGCTCGGAGCACTAATGCTCCCAGACCTCCTCAGGATCCAACAGTAAAGGGCCTTGCCATAACTAGCAAGAGGGTCACCTGGTCAGTCCTAGATCAGCTTTTTTCTAAAAAAATGAAATTTTGACAACACACTACTGTGTTGTCCATGATGT